AAGGGTCAAGACGTCGGGTCGCTCTCACCAACTCCTTTGGTTTTGGAGGAACCAATGCTTGCCTGTGTGTTGGAAGCATTTCTTGATGGGAGATGCATTCTTAAAGATAAAGTTGAGTTCTGGTCAAGCGATTGCATTGTGAAAGAAACGGTGTGGAATCGATCAGAAAAGGTTGATCATCTAGCATACAAGTATTGGTGTGTACTGCAAGGTTCTAGAATCATCAAAATGATAAGAAATTTGACCCAGACTTGGTAAAGTTACGCACTGTACACAGAAAGATATATATGGGACTACACGAACATGTGGCATAAAATTCTGTCCCGATTTTTATGCTATTACGTGCCATATTTAGAATATTAAGGCATTTGAAGAGCCATGGTTTTCAGGGAATATTTGTTATCTGATGTTCTTCCACACTTGCATAATAACAATGATAGCGCTCACAAATATTTGTTCACCTCTTCCCAGAACTCAACTTTTTCTTTAACTCTTAGAGCAATTAATCTGATTTTTTCGAAATTGTGCCTGATCGTAGGGATGCCAGATACTGTACATGTTCAAATCCCCAAAACAGGCTGGCTCAAATCCATTCAATCCATTGCCCCAAGCCCTTGGAAGAAGTTCCCTGCATTTCTGGAAAAGGAGGACTGCATTGACTTCTTCAAAACACATCTGAAATCTCTGCAATTCTTAATGCGTTCTTAGACTGAGCACCTTGTATCCATTTTGGAAGGCACTTTCAAGGTCCAGTAATTACATGTATTATTATGATGATGATTGTTGTTATGTATATGTAGCTCATCTCGTATAATAACAGTTCAGTGTCTCCTTTTAAAGAACCATTCGAGGTACTATGAACTTCAGATGTGACGATTGATGATCTGATTAGATTTTGGGTAAACAGGTCAAAGAGGTCAATTTCTGAAATTACATGTTTTAGCCTTGCTATTGCGATATCTCAAGATTCACTAGAGATATGGGGTACAGACTATGTGATAGTATGTATCATCATTGGAATTTTTGGCGAGATGGTCAAAGATCAGAGAGGCCCATTTCTGAAATTACAGATTTTTATCCTTGTTATCGCAATATTTTAAGAACCATTAGAGTCATTAGCCTCACACTTGGTGATAGTATGTATCACCATAGGAAGACAATCTAAAAAGGTTGAAGGTCACAGAAGTCAATTTCTGAAATAAAGGTTTTTAGCCTTGCTATCGCAATATCTAAACTTGGAGACAGTATCACTAAAAAGAAAATACATTTTTGGGCTAGGTCAAGATCATAGTCATCATTTGATTATAGGCTTTTTGTTTTCATTGTATGTCACAAATAATTACATCCATTTCCTATACTGAATTTAGGGTGGAGGCATCAGTGCGAGTCAAAAAAAGTTAACACCTAGAAAATTGCTAATTATTAAAAAAATCATTGATGAACATTACACTGTTATACGTCTTATGAAAGAGTGTTTTATCCCAAATCATTTGGTACCATTTTTATGTGGTACCGGTATGTGTTCACGCTTGGATAAGCAGGAGAAATTGTTTGCGAGAGTGCAAAAATCGACTTGCGCCGAAGTTGCCTATGTGATGTTTGAATAAAAAATTCGGATTTGGGTATTAATTCGGTCTTTGCAGGTCCAAATAACATCCCTAACAAAATTAATCATGCCAAACATATCAAATATTGAATATCAAATATCAACGAACATTTGTGCGCGTGTGTGACTTTGCCCTTTGCAAAAAACATATGCAATGCATTTCATTTGATACATTCAATCCATTCTCTCACTCCGCTAATCCCAACATAATACATACTGAAGGCATCAGTTTGGCGCAAGTAGATATTTGCACTCTCGCAAACAATGCCACCTGTTCATCCAAGCATGAACACATACCACACAAAAATGGTACCAAATGATTTAGGATAAAACACTCTTTCATAAGACATATAACAGTTTAATGTTCATCAATGATTTTTTTTAATAATTAGCAACTTTGTTTTGACTCACACAGTAGAAGACGCAGTCACATTAGTTTTGTTTGATTATCATTTGGTCCAAAATGTTAGGAATTGAAATACTGTACAGAAAGAGCAAACTTTGGAGACCAATTTTAGAGTCGATTTTTAATGTAGTACATTCATTCATTCAAAATGGTTTATTCAAATACCGTTCCTTGTGGCCACAAGGCCGAATTGCGAAAGTTTACAATTACAGTACAATGTTATTTCAAAATGTACATTAAAACATTGACAATAAAAAAGACAATATTAGAGCATCATGAATAGAATTTAAAAAAACTGCATAGAATGACCAAGAAATGGGCATTACAATCAATAAGATGTGTTGAATTTAATATAAATAAGGTAAAATATGACGATAGAGGGAAAAGGAAACATCTAACAATGATGAAGGAGAGAGGGAGAGCGAGGAGAAACAAAAGGGAAACAAAAGGGGAAGAAAAGAGATTTTAATAAGGAGACATGAAGAGAGAAGAAAAGACGTGTGTGAGAGGAGAGAGATAGAGATAGAGATAGATAAGAGAGAGAGGGAGAGAGAGATGGAGAGAGAGATAGATAAAAGAGAGAGAGAGAGATGGAGATAGATGGAGATATATACATAGATAAGAGAGAGAGAGAGAGAGAGAGAGATGGAGATAGAGAGAGAGATGGAGATAGAGAGAGAGAGAGGATAAAAACAGAAAAAGGGAAGGAAAAAAGAGAAAGTTAAAGGAGTGAAATGAATATACAACAGAAAACTTAAACAAGATGCAAGAAAAAATATAATCCTCAATATCAAGATAAAAGTGTAATCTTAAAATACTAAGGCACATTAGATTAAACATTAGTTTCTGCTTCAATACTCTAATCAATTATATTTTTTGTAATGTTGTAATATAATAGTACTATACAATGAAGTAACTAAAACATGTTGAACAATATCATGCAGCCATTGCATAAATACTGGTAAACAGAAGGTTTATGCCTTCTTTCTTTTCATGAATTTTCATTTAGTACTGTGATGAAATATGGAATTGCACTATACCTTTAATAGCCTGTTTGTACATGCAGCATCAATATAAAAATATCAAAAATAGAAGAATCATATTAGTACAGCATCAACATAATCCTTACCGAATGATCTTTCATATACACACTGTACTTATATCATAATTATATACATATATACAGTATATTCTGTACAAGTAGTGTGTAGGCTTGCTCAGATACGACATGGTAAACATCACAACAAAAAACACTGTGTAAATGAATGGAAACTACATGCAACAGAGCATTTGCACACATTCACTGAGTTCTGTACAGATTGAGAAATGTGAAGCATATTACACTTCAAGTCTTAAAAAGGCAGTTTAGCCGCATCGTATATGAATGAGCCTCAAGATAAATATAAGCCCGTAATTCCAATATGAAAATGGAAAAACATAAGTACATTTAATAGAACTTTGCTTGAGAAATTTAATTTGAAGGTTAACATGTTGATCTATAGTATATTGTCAGGTAATCGGTTGGCAGCATTTACTACTTGGCATTTAATGTTTTCTAAAAACCTGGCGTACATCGTCAAATCATCCATGTTTGAAAATTCTGCAGGACCGCCAACATTAATTATACTAAAGTCCCAACAAGAAAAAAAAAGCTATTGTTTCTTTTGCCGTCAATAGAACCTTTATTATGTCTAACACTATGGCATACAATCATGCTACACTAATATTTTCATGAGTTGAAAGATAATATTCACACTATTGAACAAATGAAAAACATTCATTATATGTTTTCAACAACATCGAAGTAGATCTAATAGAAAGTTAACCTTTCAACAAATTATGCTTTGCTCCTTATATTAAAGATAAATTAAAGTTGGAGTCAGGCCTTCTCGATTACATTCAGATTGCCTTTGCGCCAGATGTGCGCAGCTAATATAACAATGGGATATGTGAAGGGCAGAGAGTTATGCAATCTGCATATAACCCAAAATGCACGCTTGTGGAATAGTACTGCAGCAAGTAGTACCAAAAATGCACGCCTGTGCAATAGTATATCTATTGAATATCATGTGACCAACAATCCTCCAATAAAATGACAAGGCTCTTTTTAGGTGTTGTATAATTATATATAATTATTTACAGTTATATTTAAGCAGGGTTGCTTCTTCAGTTAACAAACTGCTATCCCTGAGGGCCCTGCACAATATATTTAAATTGAAGACATATATAACACAAACATAAACATGACAGAGATTTTTTTTTCTCATATTGACTAAAAAAATAAGGTGATAAAATAAGTACAGGTAGATCCAAAAAACTTCTTGTAACTCAGTTCTAAGGGTTTTATTGCTCTATATGTAAGTTATACCTTTTGTTAAAACATCACACAGATTTCTCTTCATATTGGCTAATATAAAACAAGATGATCATATATTTAAGTGAAAATGGATGGTAAGTACAAGCAGTTTCGTATCAAATAAGTACATGTATGTTTGAAGTTATGGTATTTTATTGCTAACAACAATATGCTTAAGGCACGTCCAAATTTAACAAATATAGAGGATAATCGAATACATCTGTCTGTTAGCCTCAAAAGAAAATATCCTAGACTTAATGTCAACTATTTAAAATGATACATGTTTCAGGCATAGAACACAACATTTTTCTAATACTTCTGTATTCCACTATTTACAGTTTAACCTGACCCTGGGCATTTAAAAAAAAAAAAAAATGAAAATTTAGACCTCTTTAATAATACTAATATTCTAGGTTTATTTAGCTTGAAACATCTACAATGTCTCCCCGGCCCCTCCACTCCGGGGTCGGAGGGACCGCATGTATGTTCCCAAAATGTCCGGTAAAGGGGTACTTTTCACGCACCAAACTCCGGCTCGTAGTACACAAAAATCCAGCCCGTATTGACTTTACACACCGGACTTAGGGGGGTGTTTTCAAAAGAAGAACCTGCATGCGCGTACCCTAAATAACGCCGAGTGGGGGGCCGGGAATGTCTCTAAGTGCTTTTCAGAAATGTCATTACTCTGGTCATCAATTTCAATGCGTCAACATTCTCCACTCCCTGGGGAGCATCTCAGTCAGGCGTCGTTTCACAGCTCCTTTGTGAAACCTACGATTTTGAACAAAAGCCTAAACAGCGTGTCACATTTAGGATTGACTAGAATAAGAGCCAAAGAGTTCATATTGCACCTGTTGGAAGCTTCACATGATTAATTTACATACTTCACTAAATTTGTAAGCTCTGCAGCCACAAGGATGGTCTTAAGCTGGGCCATATCACCACCAGTCCTTGTCTTCCACTGTGCCAGGCATTCCCTTGTAGCTCTCTGGTAGTCCATGATGCACTTGGCTAGGATGCTGTTAGCTTGGTCATATCCGATGCCAAGATGTCTGCATAACGTTGTGTAAGTCTTATGAGGCACATGTTTCGACAGTGTGTCAAGTACTTCATCTGATTCCAGATCAATCCTGAGAAATGAAAGAACAATTAATACAATCTTTGCAACCTGATGGTGATGTCACTTTATATTTAATGGCGAGTGTGGAGCGCCATGGGTGTCAAGTTTGACAGACATGTGTGCTACACTAGAGCCCGCTTTATTATTATTATCATCATCATCATCATCATCATCATTATTATTATCATTATTATTATAATAATCATCATTATTATTGTTATTACCGGTAACTAGATATATAGCAATCTGTACATAAGACAGCCACAAAAATATGGCCTGTTACCCTATAGAAGACGGAACACGGGAGCAGCATCACCAAACACTAAAGATGTGTTGATTGTACTAAGACACACCTCCATACACATTTGAAAGAAATCCGTCGAGAAATGATGCAGTTAGACTGCACACCAGGGTACACAAGACATCTATCCAGATATGACCTTTGACCCTATAAAAGATGGAACACTGGAGGCAGCATCACCAAAATCTATAGGCTTGTAGAATATACCACTGTACACCTTCGTTCAAAATTTGAATGAAATCCGTCAAGGAATGTGGCAGTTAGAGCGCACACAAGAATATGACGCGACAGAGGCGTAACGCTGCTGAATCCAAAAGTACCCCCACTGGCATACTGCGGGGGGATACAATTATGCAGAGATGCCAACCCTCTCGGATTTTTTGTTGATACGTCACTCCACACAAATTTTAATGCCTCCCTGACTTTTTGAAAGATTATTCCTATTATTCTGTATGCAATTGATAGAATGAATCCTCCCTGAAAGCCGAATGTCAAGTTTGGCATATGAATCTGTTAATATCATCAATTATTATCAATAGTATCAGTTATTATATTATTTTTATTATTAATCCATGATTGTTATAGTGGAGTAAAAAAATAACCCCTTATTTTACATAAAATTACACACAAAAAATGCTACAAAATATGCCCCCTTTTAAAAATAAAAACAGGTACAAAATGGCCTCTAAATGTAGCGCTATATTTTGCTTATTGAGTGAGCATTCACACACAGGGGCCTACTTCCATTAACACGGCTATATACATCGTCTTGTTATATCAGGGTAAAAAAACAAAGAATAAAAAGAGCTGTGACCATCAAAATCACCTTGCTATAACAGATACCTTGTTATATCAGAGCACTTTATACCGAGTTTCCACTGTACTCCTTAACATGCTTGCTAACACCTTGGGGGGGGGGGGGGATGACATTTTTTGAGAACTTTCTTGCTCTTTCACAAAAAAACATACCCCTTATAACCCATTTTTCTAACTCTCATTAGACATTTGGGGATCGCTTTCGGAAATGTTGATAACTTAAGTAACTCTGCCATAACAAGAGAAATCCCTCCCTATAAATAACATACTAAAACTAATAATTCACCTTGTATTAATTCTCTGTATCATTATAGACAGTTTAGCACTAACCTTGAGATAACATTGTGAAACAAACTCGAGAAGGCTCGGAAAGGCTGATTATGTAATTCATAAAAATCAATGGTTATTGTGAGGTTTTGGAATTATCGAAATAAAAACATGGGACTGATTTTTGCTGAAAATTACATGCACTAAACACAAATAGTTTATTCAAACTATCTGTTAAAGTAATGCTTCAAAGAAGATAGAATTTGAAAAGCCGTCCCACTTCTGCAAGGATATTCTTCCTGAGAAAGCTCACAAAGTTTGTTTTCATTTTACCAGAACACGTAAAGCCATATCTTTACCGGTAAAATATATTATAGATTGGTTACATACTGTGACGGTGTTGACACCCTTGCTACTTGTACACCGGCATGCATGGGAGGAAATATTGCTGCTGCTGTTGATGTTGTTCCCATATCTTTATTGCAAAGAAAGAGAAAAGATACAAGACTGTAAATTTGTAAAAATAATCAGATTTCGGCTGGTCCTAATGTCCAGATTCGATGACATGGGTAATAATATTTATGTAATGCACTTAAAGACATCCTTAATGCATCCCAGGCCCCCCCCCGACATTTTCTGAGATTGCGCCGTAACCGCTTAGAATTTTGAATGGTCGTTTCAGGACTTTTTTCCCTCAAGTCTTACGCACACTTTGATACCATTTTCGTCAAAATCGGATATACCTGTAAGGTGTTACATAACAATTAGTATGCGCATGTCATCAAAAATATGCTATAATTGCATACATTCATGTATAAGCAGAAATGTGAATACAGGTTTAGATGTATTTCTTCCTAATTTGGAGATATGAATTGATATCAAATTGCTTTTATATGTTTCTCAAAGTAACTTGATGTATTCAAGAACAAAAGAATACATTACAAATAAAACAATAGATATAATAAGAAATAAAAAACAATAAAATACAGAAGAAATTTGAAAATCGCATCAAATTTGCATAAATTATCATTATTAATTACATCAAAATAACTATTTTGTGTTATTTTGTAAAAATTTGCATATTAGGAAAAAATTAAGTATACCATCTTGTTAAATATCTATAAACATGCACATTTTCGTTTTCATCTGACTTTCGACGGCCGAGATCATAGGGGGGGGGGGGGGGGGAGCCCTCCCAGCCCCCCCCCCCCAGTCACGAGGTGCTCAAAATAGCCCAGTACAGTTAGGGTAAAGCAGTATATTTTCCCAGAATATTTTTCTTACCATTATTATCAATTGTAGTACGAAATCTAGGAAAAGACTAGATGGATGTTCGACTGCAGGCAGTCAAAAATGATGCCTCCGCCATAGAGCGATTTTACAAACAAGAACAGAAGCAATTTTAAAATTTCAAGTTTGATTGTAATCCATCAACAGGTTCTCAGAATATCATGACTTTATTTTTCAAATACATGTATGATCCTTTGAACTTTGACCCCATGACCCTAATTGGTTCATTGGCTTTGCATATCCCGAGTTTGATAGTAATGCATCCGTCAGTATTGACAATGCGTTCACATTTCACCAGCTATTTTTGCATACATAATGAGCCTTATGACCTTTGACCTTGTGACCCCAAATCTAAATCAGTTCATTGGCTCTGCAAGATACATACATGACCCAAGTTTGGTGCTAATCCATCAATTGGTTCTTGAGATAACGCGATCCCGAGAAGGGGACGTACGTACGGACGGACAACGAGAAAATTAATGTCTTCGGCTACTTTGTAGCGGAGGCATAAAAACATATCTGCAGATATTTATTGCTTATTGTTTTAATACACTATGAGGGTTCCATATTATATTTCTCCCTCTTGAATGGGGTAGGGGAAACACAGATATGGGTTGACACCTGCACATCCCAATCTCTAGGGAATCAAGATCCCAGGCATGAGTAATAATAATACTATTAATGATGATGTTAATGATAACGATAACAACAACTATGAGGAGGAGGATAATGATAATAATCATGATACATAAAGAATTACCCAATAATTACAGGACATACTATAACGCACATATCCATCACGCCGTGCTGCCATATATGTAAGGCTCGGGCATCATTATTAGTAATTAGTATTTGGAGTCACTTGTGCCTGGGAGGCGAAAAGCGAACCCTCGGGTCTCTTCTCCTGGTATAACTCATTGGGGGTGTGCAGGTGGACCACTACATCAGGGTTCCCCCCTACTAATATGCAAATAGTGCCGTGGGATCTTAAAGTGCAAAGGTGGTGACTCTCCTCTACCCGGGGCCTCCATTTAAAGTCCTATCCGAGGCATGTCAGATACTTTACACCTAGGTGGAGACTGGAAATTGTGGAATGATCGATGCCTGTTTAGGATTTGAACCCCCAATCCCTGGATTGAGAGTCAAGTGGACAAACCACTATAGTACAATATCTCTACATAATACTTACCAACGACGTCAGGTTTTGAAGAAAGACTTTCACATAGGTCTATCCTCTTGACCGTCTCCAAGGCTTGTCTTAAGATCCCTAACCTCGTTGCCGGCTGTTGATTCATCGACCATTTTTTGAGCATATCATGGGTCCCTTCATAATCTATACCGTGTCGGTTCGCTTTCTTGTAGCCATCGATATCGGCTTGATCAATTCCCAGTTCCATTCCTAGGTTGTCAGTTTGCTCATCTGTCCTCATATTTTTAGCAATGTCTCTCAAAACACTCCGGAAATCTTGTTTACTCATTGAGGACATGCTAGAGGAATAAGAAGTATGTAGAGAAAATCTTACTACATACACATTTATATTCTGGACTTATGTCAACAAATTGTCATTATTTCAGCTGAGAATATTTTTTAACCAATGGTTCTGGTTATATAAAAGTACTGGCTTTTGTAAAATGCCCGTATCAGCCAGGACAATTTCAACCTGGACAATCACTCCCGGAAAACTATTCCCAAGAACAACCACACCCCAAGGACAATTCCCCCCCTCCCAGAAAAAAGAAATATAAACCAAACATAATATAAAGAGCTGGGACCATCAAAATCACCTTTTTATAACAGATACCTTGTTATATCAGAGCTCTTTATACTGAGTTTTCACTTCTTCCTTCCATTTTGAGTACATACCTCTTTACAGAGTATTATCATACTATACTGGGGTGTGTGCAGGTGGACCACTTCACCAGGGTTTTTTGTGAACTTTCTTGGTCTTTCACAAAAAGAACATATTTTTATTTATTTATTTATTTAAAATGGTTTATTTCATTCAAAAACATTCGCGGCCCGAGAGCCGAATTGCAGTTTCTTTTACAAAGTATACATCAATGACAGGGTAAAATTACACGTAAAACATTATGCATGGTAAAATTATGGTAGTAAAATTGGAATTCTTTTGTACATATGATATATAATTGTAATTGTGCTTTAACGACCTTGGCAAATTGCTTGGTACATGTACAGAAATTCGAATTGTATTACCATATTTGCAATAAAATTATATATTGAAATTATACAATATATGAATAGTAATACATTTTTTATATTAAAAAAAATTAAATGCTTTGGTTTGAAAATGCATAGCCAGATGGGTAAGGTATGGTTATGGTGTTTTCTTCAATAACAGAAACAGAGACAACAACAGAAACCAAATCCAGGAATTATAAAATCAAATAGATGCTACAATGATTTAAACAAGTATACATTGTAGTTAAAATGCAGAAAATTTTGTATTTGGGCCAATTTAGTAAAAGGTACATGTAGAATATTGCATAAAAATAAGATAAGTTTCGCATAAAAAAACATGGATAAAAGGTTGCCATTGTAATATTCGATATAAGGTGCATCATCTTGGGAATTGTTAAAAAGTCAAACAGAAATTTTGTACAATTAAATCTGATTTAGTTTAAAAAAGTAAAATTCTATAGTAACATTATTCAAAAATGCATTCACATGTCACCCTTTTATTTAGGAAGTTATATCAGAGAAATAGACAGAGAGAGATGGAGAAAGAGAGAAAGAAGGAGAGTGAGAAAAGTAAGAGAGAGGGGGGAGGGTGGGAGAGAGATAGGGAGAGAAAGAGAGATAGAGAGAGAGGAGAGAGAGGGAGAGCGAGAGAGAGAGAGAGAGAGAGAGAAAAGAGAGAGAGAGAGAGAGAGAGAGAGAGGGGGGAGACAAAGAGTGAGAGTAACAAGACAGAGAGCTAGAGAACAAGGAAGCCATGAAGAGGGTCTCCTCGCTCCGCAGCACAGCACTGACATAGAGGAGAAAATAGGGGTAATGAGAGAGTGAAAGTAGTAGAGAACAATGAATGTGTTCGTCGAAGGTGAAACTAGTAATTATTCAGTACTATGAGCGTTTAACAATCTGACTAGATATGGCAACGGACTGTTTCTATACCGTGTCGTTTTGCATGGCATTTCAGTGAGCTTGCTTTTATTTCTCAGATTTCGAGAATGGGAGTCCCCACGTGTTTGGGGTAGCCAATGACTAAACTTTGACCCAGGCTCGAGCAGCTTCTTTGCAAATTTGAGGCACAGACATTCTCTGCGGTCACTCAAAGAGGACACTTTACACAGTTGAAGAGCGTTTTGATACGAGACAAAACGTGGCCCTAACATGAGGCGGCACGCTCGCTTTTGAATTCTCTCTATTTGTTCATTTTGTTTGGCAGACAAGCCGGAGTTCCAAACGGGCGCACAATATTCCAACACTGGCCTTATGTATGAACAGTAAATGAGCACTAGATCATCTAAGGGCAATCGAAATTTAGTGAGAACTCTCAGCATATGCAGCCTCATGTTTGCCTTCTTAACAATTTCATTGACATGAGAAGTCCATTTTAGATCTTTTTGGATGAAAACCCCTAGTAATTTGACACAATCTACTCGGCTAATGTCATGTCCATCAATTTGGATGACAGGCGGTGGGGGTGGTTCACGCATGAAAGTTACTGTCATCACAGAACACTTTTTGTGGTTCAGTTTCATGTTGTTGTCTACAGTCCATTCTTGTAGGTTGCTCACGCTTGACTGGATATTCGGTGGCGATGGGGATTTCCTACAATCTAGCATGGTTAGGTCATCCACATATTTCCAGTAAGACGACGGTGACCTCCGGCATGCCTCATTGATGATAGCCAGGAAGATAATAGGACCGAGTCTAGTCCCTTGTGGAGCCCCTGCAGAAACTTCCAGCCAATCAGAGAGCATCGTTCGATATTTCACGCTCTGTTGTCGTTTGGTGAGAAAGTTCGCTATCCATGCTACAGCACTCGGACGGACGTTCATCTGGAGCAGTTTGAGGACAGCTATATTGTGGTCTATCCTATCGAACGCTTTACTGAAGTCCGTTGTCACCATTGTAGTAATGATTTTGGGCTTGTCAGCGTTGCTGTGAATCATTTGTAGGAGATCAATCAAGTAGTGAGAGGTGGATACAGCCCTCATGTTCCCGAATTGTGCTGGGTCTATGTTGTTCTCCATGTCGCTGAAAGTCCACTTAGCAATGAACTTTTCGGCTATCTTGGCAAAATGATCAGTCAAAGATACTGGTCTGAGGTTATCGATAGATGCTCGAGATGTCTTGGGAATGGGAACAACATGCGCTCTCTTCCAACGCTCTGGTACAATGGACTGACTAAAAGATGCGTTTAGAATATCAGTAAGCGGAGAGCAAAGCTCATAAGAGAATTTCTTGACAAGTCTGGCCGAAATGCCGTCCGGTCCAGGAGCTTTCCGTTGTTTTATGGCTTTCAACTCGCGATAAACTTCCCATGGTTGAACAAGGGGAAGTGGTTGGTCAGCCGGTAGATATGACGGCAAACTAGAAGGGTCCAATCTAGGAATGTCGTTTGCAATGTTCACAAAGAAGTTGTTGATCTTATTCGCCGTTGCATCGAAGTCAGTAGGAGAATGGAGAAGTCCCTTCGATGCGAATAAGTGGAGATCTCGTCTGGCCAGTTGTCATGGTCTTTATATGCTTATACCATGACGCCGGGTTGGCATTTTTCAGTTTTGCCACACGGTTTTTGTAGTAGTCTTGTTTTGCATGTTCGATTTCACGAATAATTCGATTCCTGAGGCGTCGCCACTCGCCCTTCGCTTCCACAGCAAATGCCCTTTGGCGCTGGTAGATTAACGACTTGATGGAAGGGGTCATCCATGGTTTGTCCTTGTCATGTAGTTTGACGGTGCAAGTTGGGAAGTATCTCTCAATCATTGGTGATAATGTAGAGTAAAACGCATCGCACTTATCATTTGCGTTTTCAGCTGAGAGAACGTCAATCCAGTCACAGTTGAGGATCTCCATTCCAAACTCTCTAATGCTACTGTCTTTCATTGGTCTGGTTGTGCGTTTGTTGATAACGTTGGGACTCTTTGTGATGTTTCCCAACGGCAACCATAAGACAGTGCAGTGATCGCTTGCACCCAAAGGCGAAGATATGGTAGGCGACTGGTAGTAATCGCTGATATTGGTGATGATTTTGTCTAGCGTCCTTGTGCCTCTCGTAGGTTTATCCACGCATTGAACAAACCTTGGGTCTGAGAGGAGAGATGATATGTCGAGTTCATTCAAATCACCCATGACAATATAACCAACGTCCGAATGTCTTGAAGACATGGTGTCTATCACATGGTGAATATGCTCAATGAGTTTGTCAGCTTTAGCACAATTTGGTGGGTAATACAGAACAGCTACAATAATGAAGGATACGGATCGTGGTAGCTTTGTTGGCTGAATTTGTATCCACATTATTTCCAAGTCATCAGGTATATCAATATGTCCGACTGTTCTAGGAGTGAGGGTTTCTTTGAAATATATAGCCACACCCCCACCCCGTTTGTTCGTTCTAGATCTGAGGAACACCTCATAATTTGGAATCGACACATAATCACACGGCATGTCATCTTTGAACCATGTTTCGGTTACTGCCGCGATGTCAATATCGGATTCAAGGATAAGTTCGTTAAATTCATCAATCTTGTTGTTTATAGAACGAGTATTTGTTAGCAAGCAAGATGGAAAGTTGTAAGTACTTACGCCTGTTCTTGGTTCGCGATTCGGTTTGATATGAATCAAATTCGATACATTATGTCGACAATCAGGCAATTTAATCTCAGATCGTTGGTCTCTTATCCCAATAATTGTGGTGATGCGTCGTACGATATGAGTTCCAGCACGACGACCGCGTCTTCGCTTTCCTATGCCCAACTCTTTAATTGTGTCCCACGTTTCTCCTGGCAACCGATTGTCCGCTTTGTGACGTAACTGCTTTGAGAACTCGGACGAATACTTCGGTTCACTGGTTCCGACCTCAATGGCGGGAGATTCAAAATCTGCTGACAAAGTCCCCGGAAAACGACGTGTCTGCTGACTGGTGAGCAGGCCGTCTCGTCTGGCCGACTCCATGGTGAAAATCCGAACATCTATCGTTGATAGATATGCTATCATGAACAGACAGAATTCTCCTTGAAAATACATATCGCAAAAACAGATATATATCCAAAATCATCACGATGTCCAGGGCAACGTTGGTTTCTGCCCAAATAGCTATGCAAAGTCGTAACACATTTGACGAAAAAGTAAAATTCTAGGTGAAAAAAAAATCAGAAGTCTGAGTAAAAATATAAGTGTAGGCGTCAGCATAACAGCGCCCTCATGAAATACATACAAACATACCCTAACTACCCCTTTTTCTATTCTCAATATAAATTGTGGGATCACTTATGGAAATGTTGATAAGTTGATTAGCTATGCCATACTACAAGAGAAATCCCTCCCTATAAATAACATACTCAAAAAACCCTTAAAAAGAGAAAAAACAAAATCCCCCTTGTTCATAACAAATTGTGTGTATTATAATAGACATATAGTTTAGCACTGATCTTGAGATTACATTGTGAAAAAAATCAAGAAGCAATTTGGAAAGGGTGATTATGTAATACATACAAATCAATGTATATTGCGAAGTTTTGGAATGATTAAAATCAAACGATGGACTAATTCTTGCTGAATAGCACATGCACTACCCACAAATATTTAGTTCAAACTTTCTATTATTGTAATACTTCAAAGAAGATGGAATTTGAAGAGCAACCCCATTTAGACCCGATTTCTGCTAGGATAATCTTCCTGAGAAAGCTATCAAAGTGTTTTTTCTTCATTTTTACCAGAACACAGCCATCTCTTCGACATATATATCATAGATTGGTTACATACTGTGATGGTGTTGACACCCCTGCTGCTTGTAAACCAACATGCATGGGAGGAAATGTTGACACCCCTGCTGCTTGTGAACCACCATGCATGGGAGGGACTGTTGCTGCTGCTGCTGCTTGTGAACCACCATGCATGGGAGGGAATGTTGCTGCTGCTGCTGCTTGTGAACCACCATGCATGGGAGGGACTGTTGCTGCTGCTGCTGCTGCTTGTGAACCACCATGCATGGGAGGGACTGTTGCTGCTGCTGCTGCTTGTGAACCACCATGCATGGGAGGGACTGTTGCTGCTGCTGCTGCTGCTGCTTGTGAACCACCATGCATGGGAGGGAATGTTGCTGCTGCTGCTGCTTGTGAACCACCATGCATGGGAGGGACTGTTGCTGCTGCTGCTGCTGCTTGTGAACCACCATGCATGGGAGGGACTGTTGCTGCTGCTGCTGCTTGTGAACCACCATGCATGGGAGGGACTGTTGCTGCTGCTGCTGCTGCTGCTTGTGAACCACCATGCATGGGAGGGAATGTTGCTGCTGCTGCTGCTTGTGAACCACCATGCATGGGAGGGACTGTTGCTGCTGCTGCTGCTTGTGAACCACCATGCATGGGAGGGACTGTTGCTGCTGCTGCTGCTTGTGAACCACCATGCATGGGAGGGACTGTTGCTGCTGCTGCTGCTTGTGAACCACCATGCATGGGAGGGACTGTTGCTGCTGCTGCTGCTGCTTGTGAACCACCATGCATGGGAGGGACTGTTGCTGCTGCTGCTGCTTGTGAACCACCATGCATGGGAGGGACTGTTGCTGCTGCTGCTGCTGCTTGTGAACCACCATGCATGGGAGGGACTGTTGCTGCTGCTGCTGCTTGTGAACCACCATACATGGGAGGGACTGTTGCTGCTGCTGCTGCTTGTGAACCACCATGCATGGGAGGGACTGTTGCTGCTGCTGCTGCTTGTGAACCACCATACATGGGAGGGACTGTTGCTGCTGCTGCTGCTGCTGCTTGTGAACCACCATGCATGGGAGGGACTGTTGCTGCTGCTGCTGCTTGTGAACCACCATGCATGGGAGGGAATGTTGCTGCTGCTGCTGCTTGTGAACCAGTATGCATGGGAGGGAATGTTGCTGCTGCTGCTGTTGTTGTTGCTGTTGTTTGAAAGAGAAAAGATGAAAAGATATTGTAAATTCATAAAAAGCCAAGTCCATTATGGTTTATGTCAGGAAACCACAACATAAAATCAGATTTAGGCTGGTCTTATAAAGTCCAGATTTGATGACATGGGTAATATTTCTGTAATACACTTAGAGACATCATAGATGTATCAAGCAGTACTATACCCAGAATATTCTTCTTAAGTACAAAATATAGGAAAAGAAATATATCTGCTAATATTTATTGCTTATTATTTTTAAGATACTAAGTGGGTTCCATATCATATTTCTCTGCATGAATAGGGTAGGGGAAACCCAGGTACGGGTTGACACCTGCACATCCCAATCAGTTACACAGGGAATCGAGATCCCAGGCATGAGTAATAATGCCAATAATGTTAATGATGATAATGATAATAACAACAATAACAATAACAACAACGATGTTGACGATAATGATAATAGTTCGAATTGAATTGAATTGATCTTTATTTCTTTCATCATAAAAACATCATAACAAACATATAAAATACAAAACATAGCGTACAAGTTAAATAGAAACATTTACAATAGAATACAACAACAACAATATATATGAATGTGGAGACAGCTAGGAAAGCCAAAGTCTTTATTGGTGCTGCCACCAAAACAGTAATACAGTATAATACAGTATTATATTGTTGTTTGAGAAGGTGATTATAAAATTAAAAAAACAACAACTAATGCCTAATGGGGGGGGGGGGGGGGGGGGGAACAAAAACGAAAACCTGACCATGTACAGAATCAATCTTTATTTATTTTGTTGGATTAAAAATGATTTATATCTCCTTTTAAAAACGTTAATTGATGGACTAGATTTTATATACGGCCTCTTGCACAATCGAGTTGAGACGATCAAGATAACGGGGGCTTTGTACTTGCTACACAGAGAATAACACAGAGCATATACAGAGCATATACAGAGCATATACGTACCATCATATTGCAAGAAAAAAAGAATCTCAGCAGGGTCAGAGAGAGACTTTTTTTGATTCAAGGTGAATTGTAGAATAATTTGGCTTGCCCCCGACTCCAGTGGCTTTACTTTAAAGGTGAATCGAGTTCTACCAAGGCGGTAGATATCACTTGTACGCAGTGTCTATTTTAAAAGAAGAAGGAATTAAAGGAAATGTTTGTTTTCAAATGTATTTCCTTTAAAAAACAACTTATGGTGTATAACATGTAGTTAAAACTAAATAAAACAACCACTTTCAAATGATATATAAATTGCATAAACATGCATGGACAAACAAGAATTAATGATAAGAAGGCAAGAGAAAGATAGAGAGGGATCATATGTACCTTCATATTAAATTTTATTAAGATTCGTCAAACATTACTCAAGTTATTGAATGGAAACCAGATTCGCATATTTAATGAGCTATGACCTTTGACCTACATACTCCGAAATCAAACTTAGCCTGTTTTTTGATATCATGTACCTTCATATCAAATTTCATTAAATCCGATCGGATCGGAAACCAAATTTGTAACGGACGCACGGAAGGAAGGACAGACGACAGCGTTACTATATCCCCTCCGACTTCGTCAGCGAGGGGATAATAAAAATTTGTGTAGAATCACGTTTGTGCTGGTGTGTTTGGTGGGTGTTGCTGGTGTGTGTGTGTAAATATCTATGTAAGGGGGGGGGGGGGTGAAGTACGGATATGGCAATACAAAAAATGAGATCTTTATAATTTATTTATTCATCCACATCTCTATCTTTCAAATACAGAACATACCTTCTCGCCAATTTCCTTTGGGCCGTCGAACAACTTGATATTGATATCTCCATACTTCCATTCTACAAACATTGGCAGGGGCGGGTCGAGCTCTCTCTTCTCTTTCATTTCTTCTTTTATTTTCTGTTAAAGGAAAAAAAAACATTATATAAGGTCAAGAAGATCACTCTCTTTCTATGTATATATATATATACAGTCAACAACTAAATTATTCATACCCTTACCAATCTTTGTAATCTATGTGGAAAATTTAATTGTTGTATCTTTACATGTGATTATGTAGACAGATGTATACAAATATATATTATTATTATAATTTTTTTTTAAATTTCAGTGGCGAATCCAGGGGACAAATTGAGTATATAAAGAAAATGTGTCATTATTTATGCACCCAGCCACTCATTCAGACTAGAAAAGGCAGCTCAAAATGTGCAGACTTTGGTTTCTTTCTTTTCAGAGAACTTTAGGGAAAAACAAGGGAAACTCTCTCGGCGGTCTCGCCTGCATTACGCAATTCGATATGATGAAAAATTGAGGTTGGGACATTATTTATAAGCAGGGTGGCCCATCAGCAGGCCCCCAAAATTGAAATCCTCTACATAATCAGCTTTTTGAAGTGAATATTTACGAAGAATCAACAGAAAAATGATTTATTATTATTTCTACCAAGATTAATAACTTTCATGAAATACATGTATGAACAAATAACAAAAAATTTATTTAAATCCAAGTCTACTGACCTAAAGTGACCCTAGACTTTGACTTTGTGATTTAGAATTGGTGTCATGTGATTTGTGATACTTGATAACCCTTGCGTACAAGTTTCATGGAATTTGAACAAACACTTTTGAAATTACGCTAAAATTTCAAAATCTTGATGTTGATGCCACATCAAAGTCCAAGTTTGCAGACCTGAAATGACATTTGACCTTGACTTTGTCACCTAAAAGACTAATCACATGATTGGTGACACTCAATAACCCTTATGTTCAAGTTTCATGGAATAGGAATGTATACTTTTAAAATTATGATAAAAATTCAAAATCTTAACCTGATGCCACAATAAAGTCTAAGTTTGTTGACCGGGATTGGCCTTTGACCTTGACTTAGTGACCTGAAATTCTACTCACATGATTGGGGATACTTGATTACCCTATAGTCCAAGTTTCATTGTATAAGAACTTATACTTTCAAAATTATATTACAAATTCAAAAACTTAACCTGAGGTTAAGTTTTTGATGTTGACGCCGTCGCCGTCGCCGTCACCGGAAAAGCGGCGCCTATGTCTCGCTTTTTGCTACGCAGGCGAGACAAAAAATGATAACCTCATTCTTTTATTCAACTATCTTTTTTGCCTGTTCAAAAATAATTCTAGAATATCTGCCAGCAAATGTAATAACTATTTGTTTCCCCCTAATCTCTGTCTCACCTTAATAACATCTGGGAGGTCGTCATAGATGCAGAGAAGCACCAAGTGGGTGGACCCTTTCCCGACAGGTGGTTGTGCATGTGCATATGGCGTGAAGTTGACCCTCTTTCCAACAAAGTATCGAGTGATTTTAGCCACAATCCACCAAGCGCAAAAATGATCTACGTAAAGATCCAAGTCTTTTGCTCTGACATCACAACGTGGGTAACCGCTGGTGGATGCAGGAATTCTTTCAAAAGATTCTGAGTCTATAAAAACAAGATTTATATCAGATTTTTTTTTAATTTGACAAATACAAAATTATTATTGAATCTATATACCGGTAGTGTAATATATCTCTGCATCAACTCTTTCCTTTCTTGCTCCTTTTCCGTTTGGCAGGATGTGCCCCCCCTTGATAATCCACTGGTCAATAAATCAGTTTTCACTAAGCCTACTGAATTGAATCAAATCAAAGGAAGCAGAGAGTGACGTGTATTTACCTATTTTGAGGTTTCACAATACTTTGACTTATATTCATTGTTATATTTCTATGTAAAATACGGTGTGTGTTAGATGAAAAAAAAGAGTTTAGCTGCAGTCAAAATTATATGATACTTGCTCCAACAACAATCACTCTGCGTCAATTTCCTACACTAACCGAATCCTTAACTTCAACCCTAAACCCGACACTATATCTACCCCTAACCTTAGACCTAACCTGAAACCCATTCGCAACCCGAAGCCTATACCTCAAGAAATAAAGCCGGGAGCAATCGTCATAGAAAAATGTCGGGTCACCGCTCAATGTGTCATGGTCTAGTAGATGGGTCACTGGACTGTGGATCATTTAAGGTTTGCGGTTCAAGTCAGTGGCGGATCCAGGGGGGGGGGGGAGGCTCCTCCCCCCTGGGAAAAAATGTGTATTTTTACATTTTTTAATGTTAATTTTACCTTTTTTTTTTGATTAGCCAGGTAATGTAAAGGGATATCCGATAGGAAATAATTCCTTGAATGCCAGAATGCCTCATCAAAGTAGCTTGTTTAATCCCAGCCTAATAATAGTAATGCACTAAGAACATTAGCATTAAGCACAATATAAACATTTATTTCATCATTTTCAAATCCTCCTAACCTTTGTTACGCGTGTAGAAGACCATCTCTGCACGTCTTGGATTAGAGAAATGTGCACTATGGTCCAATGTGACCTTGATAGGTTTGCTGAGCTTAGCTCCAGACGGCGAGAATCTGATGCCGCATGATATAACTGCTTCATCATCTTGGAGGGTAAGTTCTTGAGGAATATCTGTCAGAAAAACCCAGTGAACTTGGTTGCCATCTAAAATATAGAGGTCGATAGGATAGACATATTTGTCCTTTTCTCAAAAGTAAAAGATTGCATAATCTACGTGACAAAAACCAGACTAAAGCATGTTTCCAAGATTTGTTCGATGATCACCATCACCCCCATCACCATCATCAGCACCATCACCATATCACTACCATATATCACCACCAGCATCGCCATCACCACCATCTCCATCACCTTCATCATGACCACGATCGTCACAACTACCACCACTACCATAAACATCATCATCATCATCCTTATACCAGGGAGACATCTCCCTGATCATCATACACACCCATATGCGTTCGCAGACAAAAATGAGGGAGCTGGTGAGTGCGTGACTTTGTGTAGGCGTATATTCCTGCTATTATACACATACATGTACATTTATTTAAACAAAATGAACGAATTCCAGGAGGCTGCAAGCCGAGGCGGCGCTCCCGGGGGGGGGGGGGGGGGGGGGGGCAGGGGGGGGGGGGGGCAGGGGGCACAGTGCCCCCCTCCACTTTTTCAAGTACCCATAGAGTGCCCCTTTTTACACAGGAAAAGTGCCCCTTTAACTTTGTAAGAAGTGTCCCTTTTACTTTTAAAAGTGCCCCTTCCCTTTTCCACCTCTGGTAAGTGCTCTTTTCATCTTCAATAACGGCCTTTTATATTTTGACACGTGCCCCTTTTCCTTCCTAATAAATGCTCTTTTCCCTTCTTATAAGTGCCCAATCCCCTTCTCATAATTAACCCTTTTCATTTCTAATAAGAGCCCCGTTTATCTGAACATGTGCCTCTTTTTCTTTTTAATAAGAGCCACTTCCCCCTTCTCATAATTCCCCCTCGCGATAAATGCCCCTACTAAAATCTGATCGGTGCCCCTTTTCTTTCAACAAATGAACATTTCCCTTATCATTAGTGCCTCTTTTTCATTCTCATAAGTGCTCCTTTTTCAGATGCGACTAGTGCCCCTTTTTAACCTCTGATAATTACCCTTTTAACAATGATACTTGCCCCTTTTCCTTTCCAATAAGGAAGCTATCCCTATTGCATAAATGCCCCTTTTCACTTCTTATAAATGCCCCCTCAAAATCTGATGGGTGCCTCTTTTCCGTCGACAAATGCCCATTTCCCATTCGCACTGGGAAGTGCCCCTTTTTTAGGTGTAAGAAGTGCCAGATTTTCACCTTCTGATAATTACCCGTTGTACTTTGACACATGCTCCTTTTCTTTTCAAATAAGTGTCATCCCTTTTGATAAGTGTCCCCTTTCCTCTCATCACGTGCCACTAATTTCAAGCTACTAAGAGCAATATCACCCAAAGCTCGCTCGCTACGCTTGCTCGCATTTATAGATGTTATAATTAAGTTACTTATCAAAGGTCTTTTCAGTCTTCTGTTATGATAATGTGCTTATAACCCCATCAGGATTGGGTTTTTCTTCTTTATAAGATGTAATTTTTCGCACTGCGACCTCACAAATCTTTTTTTCTTTCCTTGCTCTCTTTGCTCGCTCGCAAATGAATTTTCAGCGAATCTGATACAATGTATAAAGATAAACAACTATTCAAATCATCCCTGATAATGTCATCACAATATAGGGGTATATACAAATGTTTTAAAAAAAATGTATATTGTCTTACCAACGACAATGGGCGCATTGTCGATCTCCGGTATTATTTCCCCTTCAGTCTTTTCCTCGTTCCTCGCCTTAAACTGTATCCAGAGCTTAATTAAATAGCGGGAAAGTTTTCTGACGGGCAAATTGAGTAAAGCTTTCACCGTGAAAAGGAGCAAGAAGTTCTCCGTTGACGTCTCAGTTGAGGCAAGGTGATAAATCAAGTCACCAACACTGTGTTCATTAATCTTTGACCAGATTTTGAAACGAACGTAGGTTAGTAAACCTCTGCCGCATACATGTAGTGGTTGTTTTACAAAATTCTGTTTATTAACATCCCATTCATATCGATATATGTCACCGATCTGCCGTAATTGACCTGCAACACTGACAAGAAAATAAATAAATTCATTTCTATATTAATTTAAGGATAAAGTAATAAATCAAGAATAGGAGGGTTAGTCAATCTATAAAAACATATTCTGTGCCCACTGGATTCATATTTTAAAGCATAATGGTGCTGTTTGCTAAAAGAATTACAATGTTACGGCTACGAATACCGGTCATCAAAAGAGAAAATGCTACAATTAATTTATTAAATGTACTTGTACTAGATTTGTTGAACATCTTACAACTATTACCACCACAAAGGCTGATTATTGCAAGTTTGTTTTATACTTTGTCCTGCTGAGTTTTATATATTTTCCTACGTTCCTATTTCTATACAAGAAAGAAAATGATTCTGGAAATAAATGAACCATAACCATAAAAGCTTCATACGTGTATCTTAAAATGAACATAATATTTTTATATCACAACAATTCTTTATTAAGGTACCCTTTTCCAAGGTGTCCTTACTAAGCCCGATATCTAGCAATACCGTGGCTTAAACTAATCAGGGGGTGTTTCACAAAGACTAAGATCGACTTTAAGTTTGACTTAAGTATGGCAGGCCGTCTATGCCACTGTTTGCTCTCACCATTTACTGGCATTCCCTTACAAAAAAATGTTCAATGGTATACCAATGGTATACCATTCAGAAGTACCACTGAAAATACCATTCGGATACCATTGAGATTACGCTCGCAACGTACCATTGGGCACCATTCATCTACCAGTGAAATTGCATTCAACCATATCAACCTAATAATATTTTTTTGGACGCTCATTTGCATAATCACCAATGGTAGATGAATGGTACCATTGACACATTGAAATTTGAATATAAAATATGCAAATTTGTTACAATTATTCTACCATTCACCATTGGAATACCATTCACCATTGAAATTTGAATATGAAATATGCAAATTTTGTACCATTAATCTACCATTGACCATTGACATACCAGTCAAATACCATTCACCATTGGCCTACCATTTACCATCCACCATTGGCCTACCATTCACCCTCCACCATTGGCCTACCATTCACCATTCACCATTGGCCTACCATTCACCATTCACCATTGGCCTACCATTCACCATTCACCATTGGCCTACCATCCACCATTCACCATTGGCCTACCATTCACCATTCACCTACCATTCACCATTGGCCTACCATTCACCACCCACCATTAGCCTACCATTCACCATCCACCATTGGCCTACCATTGACCATCCACCATTGGCCTACCATTTACCATCCACCATTGGTCTACCATTGACCATCCACCATTGGCCTACCATTCACCATCCACCATTGGCCTACCATTCACCCTCCACCATTGGCCTACCATTCACCATTCACCATAGGCCTACCATTCACCATTGGCCTACCATTGACCATCCACCATTGGCCTACCATTACCATCCACCATTGGTCTACCATTGACCATCCACCATTGGCCTACCATTCACCATCCACCATTGGCCTACCATTCACCATTCACCATTGACCTACCATTCACCACCCACCATTGGCCTACCATTGACCATCCACCATTGGCCTACCATGGTACACGAATGGTGGACAGTGAATGGTATACCAATGTTAAGACCAAAGGTGGATGGTAAATGGTTTGTCAATGGTAGGTCAATGGTGGTTGGTGAATGGTTTACCAATGGTATGTCACAATAAATGGTAGATAGAGAATGTTATGTTATGCCAGTGGTTGCATTGAATGATAACAGTAGACCTATGGGAGAACAATGTGGATTGTGAATGGTATGCTAATGGCACCTACATGTAAATGGTGAGTAATGAATTTCATGCAAAAATTAAGAACTGCTAAGAACTTTGGTACATTCCAGTCATCCAACAATTGACTTCAAGTCAGATACAAATAGTTGTTAAAAGATAATACTATAAAGTGCAAATTTGTAGTCAACAACATGAAACTATTTAATTTTGTACAAAATAAGAGACTCCATTGGTGTGCATGGTTTATGGTAATACTGTACTGTAACTTGTCTTTGGTACATGAATAAAAGTACATGTCTTTTGAAATATGTAAAATAAATATATATAAAAAAGTGGAGTACTGAAAACAGAAACACAGCTGCATTATAATTCTGGCAGTAATAAGTAGTGATTAACTTTGCTGCTCTGACAACAATAGAAACGGAATAAACCGATATATACCCGCATAGTTCCTGCATGAAACATAAAAATTACAACAAAAAAAAGTTGGAGGGATTTCATTTTTCTACATGACCAACAATGCAGAGTGGTTTCTTTGTAGTTTCTGTCAAAATGATATTATTGTGCAGGTTAACAACATTATCTATAACAAATTACTGCAGCATTAAAGTCTTTGGCACATCATGGAAATCAAGACTTTCAGAATACATGTATGTCAATAAAAAAAGAAAAAAAGAAAGTAATTTAAGGAAACAGTTGCATCATAAATGTGTGATTACCATAAAAGTGAACATTGAGTGAAACACGCTCTTCACTTACGGGGGATTACAAACTGCATCACACTGTACTCCCTGAAAATCTGTAGCAAAGTAATGCAGTAAAATTACACACACGTGTACTTTAGATGCATGACCATCTGACTAATGTACATTTTAAAAAAATATGTAGATATAATAATAAAGCAAGGAAACTATATTTATGCGATTAAAACACATTGTACTAATGAGTCTTGTTATGCATTATAAAAAGTATCAATTTACCTTGTCCAGTAAGTAATATCAACAAAAATTACTGAAACTTATTCAAAAATTAAATTTGATTTTTTACTTCCTATGCAATAACAGTGCATTTGGCCAATACTTTTTTTCTCTCTTACACACACTGTCACACTTGTTTGAAATGCAAGATTTCATGACAATGTTGTGCATCTTATTAAGTCTTCTGTGTAATTTCCTCAAATGCATCATTTCACAGGGAAAATTTCTGTTGAGTAACAGCAACCATTTGATACGTGAGCAAGAAGTCTGTAAACAATTTTTTAAAATAAACTTCAGATGACTCTGCAGTAGCTCTTAGGAGAGTGTTATACATTTTCTATGTAAAAACTTATAGGCCATTTTGCTGGATCTGACATTTACCTGTACCATCTATGATTCTGAATAATGAAGGTGAAACTTACACACCTTTATGCAAGCACTGGAATTTATATTTTTTGAATGATTACAACATATATTCTCCAAACTGTTTCTTACACTTCCGTTTTGTAAAAAAGAATGGTACTACATTAAAGGGATAGTTGAGTTCTTT